GAGTGATGAAATTTAAGGTGGTTTGAATCAGTTAGTCCAGTAGACTCATGGAATATGTGAACGTCAGTCTCCAAGACTCTGAGACCTGAAGAACTGCTGCTCTGAAAGAAATCACATTAGAAGGTCCTGGATAGAGTGGGAAAAAATATGAACAAAACAAAATTTAAAAAATTAATTAAATTTTAAAAACCCACAGGTTTATTGATCAGAAAAAGACTGGAGGAACCAAAGACTATGGCCCTCTGTCACCTTTCAGGTCTAGAAGGAAACTCACTCTTGTGGCTCAGTTGGCCCAACTTTCAGCTAAGCAGTAGATAGGTATATGGTGGTGGGGGGTGGGAATGAAACAAGACACTATTAAGGTATAATTACCATGAAATGAGCAAGTATTGTGGATCAAAAGGTCAACATGATCTAAGGACAAGTTCAGAAGGTATGGTAAGGTGGGTAGAATGGAAATTGGAACCATAGGGAAGAAGTGTGGTGACTGTTGTTGCATGGAGGGGATTGCAATCACTGAGATGAAACAAAGTGTATGATATATTTAATGTAAAACTGATGATATGCTCTATAACTCTTCGCACAACTCACAATAAAAATTATTCTTTAAAAAAGGGGTGGGTTGTATTGCAAGGGCAACAAATGGTAGCATTTCTATAGTAGAGTTTTAGTAGAAATCTTTAACTCTACTTGGTCCAGTTTCTTTTGACTCTTCAGTGGCTCAAAGCATACAGACTGTTCTATAGTTCTGTTTGTTTTCTCTCACTTTGGTACAAGATTGATTAAAGGCAAAAATCATAAGCACATACTGTAAAATTTTAGGGAAGTAGTAATGAAAGCTTGAAAATAGGTAGTAGCAGTAAATAGATGAGAAATTAAAGAACAAAAGGTTTTATTAATTGATTATTAGTTGTTGTTAGGTGCCATCGAGTCGGTACTAACTCATAGTGACCCTATGCACAACAGAACAAAACACTACCCGGTCCTGAGCCAACCTCATAATTGTTGCCACGCTTGAGCCCACTGATGTTGTCACTTTGCCAGTCCATCTCACTGGGGGTCTTCCTCTTTTTCTCTGAACCTCCACCTTAACAAACATGATACCCTTCTCCAGTGACTGGTCCCTCCTGACAATATGTCTGCGATAAAAGAGACAAAGCCTTCAAGGAGCACTCTGGCTGCACTTCTTCCAACACAGATCTGTTGGTTCTTTTGACAGCCCATGTTCTCCTCCAACACCATAACTCAAAAGCATCAGTTCTTCTACTGTCTTCCTTATTCACTGTCCAGCTTTCACATGCATATGAGGCTATTGAAAATACCATGTCTTGGGTCAGGCACACCTTAGTCCTCAAGCTGACATCTTTGCTCTTCAACACTTTAAAAAGGTCTTATGCAGCAGATTTGCCTAATGCAATATGTTGTTTGATATTGATCCAAGAAGAATGAAGTCCAATAAATAACATCATGATAAACGGAGAAAAAATTGAGATTGTCAGAGACTTAAATTTACTTAGACCCATAATCAGTGTTCATGAAAGTAGCGGTCAAGAAATCAACTGATGTATTTATTGCATTAGGCAAATATGCTGCAAAAGTGTTTAAGAGCAAAGATGACAGTTTGAGGCCTAAAGTACGCCTGACCCAAGTTATGGTATTTTGAGTCACCATATATGATTATAAAAGTTAGACAGTCAATAAGGAAGATTGTAGAAGAATTGATGCATTTGAGTTATGGTGTTGAATATTCGAAGTACCACTCAACTGCCAGAAGAAAAAACTACACTTACACTGCCTTGGAAGAAGTATATCTAGAATGCTCCTTAGAAGCGAGGATGGTGAGACTTTGTCTCATGTACTTTAGACATATTGTCAGGAGGGACCAGTCCCTGGAGAAGGCTATCATGCTTGGAAAAGTGAAGGGTCAGTGGTGCCAGTGATGAAGACAAAAGTGATGACGTGGAGAGATGGAGCGGCTGGGGACTCTGGACTCAGGGAGGGAGCGGGGCTGTACCCTTTGGTTGTTTGATGTTACATGAAGGGGATTGTAATCATTGCAATGAAATGACATACGATAGGATGAATGTTAAAAAAGAAAAGAAAATGTGAAGGGTCAGCAAAAAAGAAGACGACACTCTAAGGACGTGAATTGACACAGTGTCAGCAATAGTGAACTCAAGCATAACAATGTTGTAAGGCTAGCCCACGACTGGGCAGCATTTCATTCTGTTGTTCAAAGAGTCACTATGAGTCAGAACCAGTCTTATGACACCTAACAACAACAGTGTAGACTGAGGAGCCCTGGTGGCACAGTGATTGAGAAAGCCTTCAACTGCTAACCAAAATGTCAGTGCAAACTCATCAGCAACTCTGTGGTAGAAAGATGTGTCAGTCAGCTTCCATAAATATGAACACCTTGGGAAACCCTATGGGGCAGATCTGCTTTGTCCTATAAGGTTGTTCTGAGTTGAAATCAACAACATATATGGTTTGGATACATTGTCTACTCGAGACCATCTGTTTCACCTCTTATACATGCCATTAGAGAGTTCTTTTAGTTTTGTTAAAGAGTTGTGTGGTGTTTTATGTAGTTCTTAGTCTTTAGAATACTCAAAAAGATTAATTTTTTTGTTTGATTTGTCATTTAATAAAGGATAATTTAGAAATACAAAATATTGTGACCTTGTTAAAAGTTCTTATGGATTGTTTTAATATGACTTCTCAAAATAATAGATACTTAAATAATTTTTGCACTTATACTAATTTCTACTATGTTTTAATAGATGAGGAAAAGTAAAGATAATAAAGATAAATAATATGCCTGCCACCCTAAATAGAATTTTTTTTTTTTGCTAATAAACAATTATTTTATATGAACTATGTGAAACAGAATTTATATATTGTTGATAATCAGGTAAATTGGTATAAGCTCCTAGAGGTCAGTTTGTTAATGTAGACCAAGAGGATCAATCAGTTCCTAGGAATTCATCACCTGGATGTCCAGCCACAAGGGATTGATTAAATATGTGATACTACAAAAGTTTCCTGTGAAATATTGTCTAATAGCTGTTTCAAATGATCATCTACTGGAATATTTAGTGACATGGGAAAATATGCCCGATTTATTACTAAGTTATAAAAGATTAGGCTACTGGACAGTATGCATAGTGGTGGTGTGCCATGGAGTCAGTTCAGACTCATAGCAACCCTGTGTAGGGTTTCTGAGGCTGGAAGTCTTTATGGGAGCCTCATCTTTTTCTCTCAGAACAGATGGTAGTTTTGAACTGCTGACCTTGAAGTTAGCAGCCTGACTTGTAACCACTGCACTACCAGAGCTCCTTATGCATAGTGTAAGCTCATCATCATTATTATTATTGCCAACAATACATTAAAAAATAGATGTCTTAATTCTTTTTATCTTCAAAATTGTGTATAACTATGCATTCCTTTAATTAGGAAAAACTTTTATTAAAAAATATACTTTCTGTAGTTACTTAGAAAACAAATAATCATAGAAAAATAATGATCTACAAAGAAAGAACTTGAAGCAAAACAAAGGAGAAGTCTCTTTTCACTCCTTTATACTCACCCCTTCTGATTTAGCAAATTTATCTGTCGATAAAATTTTGACTGACCATTGATGGTAACTGTGCTATAGCAATCTAAAGTTAGCAGCTTTATTTCTAATGTAAGCATTATTATCCATTGGCTTTGTTAGTGGTAGCCATGAACAGCCAATTAGAGTTTAACGGTCTTCTTTGAAAAGATTCATGAACTGATTAATAAGCTTAGAGTGCATACCAGGCTTTCAGCTAGTGTTGATAGTTCTTTCAAAGGTACCACTAACTCAGAAATTTAAAGTTATCCAAGACTGAAGCTTTAAAAAAATAGGAAAAAAATCACAAATCCTTCAAAGTGCCAGTTTAAAATTGAAAGAATCTTCAAGGCTTTAATGCTATTCTTTGAGCTGTTGTTGTTAGGTGCTAACAAGTGTCTTCTGACTCATAGTGACCCAATGTATGCATGACAGAATGAAATACTGCCCAATTCTGTGCCTAAACCACAATTGTTATTCTTGAGCCCATTGTTGCTAATATTATTTCAGTCCACCTCATTGGGGATCCTCCTCTTTTTCACTGATGCTCTTTTCCAGTGACTGGTTCCCTCCTGATAACATGTTCAAAGTATGTGAGATGAAATTTTGCCATCCTTGCTTTCAAGAAGTATTCTGGCCGTACTTCTTCCAAGACAAGCTTATTTATTCCTTTTATTTTAAGTTTTTATTGTGAACTTAGTGAAAGTTTACAGGGCAGATCATCAGTTTTACATTCAACAAATCATACACCTTGTTTCATTACAATGATTATTATCCCCTCCATGTACCATCAGCTAACAGTATTTCTTAAAGTTTTTTTAAATACTCAGGCATATATAATAATTATACCACCAAAGGGCACATTCTGCAAATCTGCTTCCTGTTTGCGAGCTCTCAGTCCCTCTCTTCCCATGAATCTGGAGTCCTCAGTTGCTCCCTCTCTCCATGCCCCTATCTTTGCCTCCATCTCTGGTGTCACTGCTTCTCTGGATAAGGTCTCACATTCCACTTGTGTTCTTCTCCTTTGATGGTCTTGGTACTTTCAATATTCTTTATCAACACCATAATTCAAATACATCAATTCTTTTTCAGTGTTCCTTATTCATTGTCCAGCTTTCACATACAAAAGAGGCCACTGAAAATACCATGGCTTGCAGCAGGAGCACCTTAGTCCTCAAAGTGTTATCTCTGCACTTTAACACCTTTAAAAGGTCTTTTCTGGGGGATTTAGCATGGCTTTATTTTAGCCATATAGATAATCTATAAAATTATTAAGGTTCTCCAACAGAGACTTTTTCCACTTATTTAGCATTCAGTTTTCATTGACTCAATGTAATTAAAAGTATTAATCATAAAGAAAGTATTATTTCACATAGTTCAAATATGTTTGCTTTCCTCCCTTTAGGTTGCTATGAGCAGACCAGACATGGAAGACTTAGACCTCTATGCAACATCACGGGAGAAGCGATTTCGTTTATTTGCTTCTATAGAATGTGACGGGCAGTTGTTCATGACTCCATATGATTTTATTTTGGCTGTTACAACAGATGAACCCAAATGTAAGTCTAATTTTTTTAGTTATCATAATAATTTTATAATCTTTTATCTCATCTTCTGTTTGTAAAAAAAATATTGTGAAGCTGTATAAATTTCAGAACACCTAACCAAGTAATATGGAGTCCTGGTGTGTCACTGTGGGCTAATGCGTCAGACTGCAAAGCCATTTGAACTGCAAAGTCAGTGGTTCAAGCTCACCATCTGCTCCTTGGAGACCCTATACAGGGTCGCTATGGGTTGGAATCGACTTGACAGCACTTAACAACAACAACAACCAAGTAATATTGTATGTCAAAGATAAGATTAGGCACATTTAGGGTGGTATGGCCATAGATTTAGACTACTATTTCAGATAAACTCTTTTTGGAAACTTTCCATTGCTTTTCACTATATCAAACTCAGACATCGCCTTGCTTTTGGCAATCTTTTTCATTCTTATGTCCAGCCGGAAGAGAGTAAGTCAGAGGATTAACTTTGACATTAGACTCAGACAAGAACTCTGCCTTATATGTCTTTGCATTTGTCATAGCTCCTGCACAGTAAGCACAGACTAATTGTTTTGTCTACTACTCCAACATATGGACAACACTTTGTCCATATGTTGGAGTAGTAGTTCTCAAATTTTCTGGCACTCTGTACATTCTTTGCAAATCTCTAAAATTGAATGTGATGAAAGATAGCTGGATTTTCATATCCACTTTCTTACTCAGTCCATTGAAATATTTTGTTTTGCATGAAATATATGTAGAAAATCTGCCACAGTAAAAGGTAACAGGAAAAAGGGAAGACTTTTAATAGCCTTTTTCAGATAATTGTACATATTCTTTGAAGCTGTATCTAAATTTGGTTAATGGTAGTTTCTTAAAGGTTAGTTGCAATGTAGAAAATGAAACTGTATCAACAAACTTTTTGACAGTCTGTTGGTCTGTCATAAACTTTGAATAAATCTCTGCTCTTGTATATAACCTTGTAGCATCAGTCGAAAATATTGCTTTAGGAAGTTATACAGATCTTCCAAATATTAATGCCTTTCATTATATAATTTTTAAAGTCACATGTATTACCATTAATACTAATCTCATCAGAACAAGCTATAATTATTGAAATAATTGTTAGTGGTATTTACAAGTTTTCCAAAGTTGCCATTTTCACATGAAAGCTGTCAATTATATCATAGGCAGCAAGTATAATCAGTTGTTTTCCTTAAGCAATAAGTTCATTTTGTTCAATTTTAAGAAAATGTTTACTAAAAGCCTGGGTCGGAGAAACCACAATTTGTCAGCTGTCCTTGCAAGTAACAATTCTGTCCTATGAGAAAAACAGTTCACTTCACAATTCAGGTAATCAAAATGTGCTTTTCCTTGAGTCAACCACATATATAGGTATGCAGCAGAAGCACTTAATGCACAGTTCCCATATCATCTCACACCTATTAAGTTTCATGTACTCAACTATGCTTATCAAATGCCAGACACTACATTTCTGCTCTGGCCCTGTAGGATTAGCACTGGACTGCGAATCACAAGGTCAACAGTTCAAACCCCATCAGCTGCTCCTTGGAAACCCTATGCATGGTCGCTTTTAGTTGGAACTGACTCCACAGCACTGAACAACAACATCAACACACTAAGTAGGCACTGGAGACACAGGGGTAAGCGGAAAAGAAAAAGAAGAAATACTCTTTGCCTTCATGATGCTTACAGTCTGGGGAAGAAGTTGACACTGTGATCAATGATATACACAAATAAACAATAAATTATAACTCTGATAAGCACCATGAAAGAAAAATATTTGATTCTATGAGAGTGTATATTTTGGGGAAGTAACCTAATCAGGGAGATCTGGGAATCTTCTTGTAAAAAATAAAAACAAGAGTTTGCATGAAATCTAAGTCTCAAATATGAAAGTTGCAAATGGAGAATTTCAGCAACCTGAAAAACATGGGCTGAGACCCCGTGCCAAGAAGGCCTATGATACATGTGAGGAGTGATAGAAAGACCTAAGTGCGGCTAAGTGTAAAGATCAAGGAGGAATATGGTATGAGATGAGGCTGGAGAATTGGGGTAAGGCCAAATTATTCAGTCTGTAGCGCTAATGGAGGGGGCGGCGGCTAAACAATGTGCGAGAACTGCGCAGACCTGGTGGAGGTGTTAAATGAAACCCAGACCACAGAGTGTCGGGGTAAGCGGTGTCTGGAGACCAGATCGACGGGGGAGGGGAAAGGCTGTCCTACTTACCCCGGACGAGAGGGCACC